AATAAGCATGTTAACCAAATCACTGATAGAGGCTGAGAGCCAGCTCTTTTATTTTATTTTTTGAATAAATTTATTATTTATTTATGGCTGCGTTGGGTCTTCGTTGCTGCGCGCGGGCTTTCTCTAGTTGAGGCGAGCGGGGCTACTCTGTTGCGGTGTGTGGACTTCTCATTGCGGTGGATTCTCTTGTTGCAGAGCCTGGGCTCTAAGCGCACGGGCTTCAGTAGTTGTGGTGCATGGGCTCAATAGTTGTGGCTCACGGGGTCTAGAGCACAGGATCAGTAGTTGTGGCGCATGGGCTTTGTTGTTCCGCGGCACGTGGGATCTTCCCGGACCAGGGATCGAACCCGTGTCCCCTGCATTGGCAGGCGGATTCCTAACCACTGTGCTGCCAGGGAAGTCCCTTTTTTTTTTTTTCTTTTAGGATGGAATCCAGCCCCCCTGCAGTGGAAGCGTGGAGTCTTTACCACTGGACTGCCAGGAAAGTCCCTGAGAGCCAGCTCTTAAGGAGCATGCTGCCTTGCCACCCAACCGACCAGGTCAGTGCTTCTCAAACTTTAAGGTATATGGGAATCTCCTGGCAATCTCGTTCAAATGCAGATTCTGATTTAGTAGGTGCGTTAGTTAGCGTTCTTCAGAGAATCGGAAACAATAGGAAAAAAATATATAAAGTTTATATTTTGGGGCTTCCCTGGTGGCACAGTGGTTGAGGGTCCGCCTGCCGAGGCAGGGGACACGGGTTCGTGCCCCGGTCCGGGAAGATCCCACATGCTGTGGAGCGGCTGGGCCCGTGAGCCATGGCCGCTGAGCCTGTGCGTCTGGCGCAACGGGAGAGGCCACAACAGTGAGAGGCCCGCGTACCGCAAAAAAAAAAAAAAAAAAAGAAAAAAAATATATGTTAAAAAAATATATACAAATAAAATAAGGTATTGGCTCATGTGATTATGGAGGCTGAGAAGACCATGACCTACCGTCTGCAAGCTGGAGACCCAGGAAAGCTGGTGGTGTAGTTCAAAGGCCTGAGAGCCACAGAGCCAGAGAGCTAATGGTGTAGATTCCAGTGTGCGTCTGACGGTCTGAGAACCCGGAACGCCAGGCAGGAGAAGATCGTTGTCCAGCTCAAACAGTCAGGCAGAGAGAAAATTCAACCCTCCTCCGCCTTTTTGTTCTATTCAGGCCCTCAACAGATTGGATGAAGCCCACCCGCATCGGGGAGGGCCATCTGCTTTACTCAGCTCACTAATTCAAATGTGAATCTCTTCCGGAAGCACCCTCACAGACACATCCAGAAATAGTGTTTAACCAGATATCTGGGCATCCCAAGGCCCACTCATCAAATCAACCATCTCAGTAGGTCTGGGGTGGGGCCAGAAACTCTAACAGGTTCCCAGGGGATGTCATGCTGCTGCCCAGTGGGCCACACTTTCAATTGCCAGGTTTTAGAGACTCTGTCACTGTGGTGGTCATGAGTACCATTCACTAGTACCATTCATTCCCAATCTCCTTCTTTTTTTTTTTTTTTCTATCAGTTACTATGCCTTTACCACTTGTATCTCCTGGAATATGTGCCAGGCACTTTGCATGTGACTTTTCCTTTCATTTTCATAATGATGAATTATCATCCCTTTAAAATTTATTTATTTATTTATTTGGCTGCGCCGGGTCTTAGTTACGGCACATGGGATCTTAACCTGCGGCATGCGAACTCTTATTCGCGGCATGCGGGATCTAGTTCCCTGACCAGGGATCGAACCTGGGCCCCCTGCACTGGGAGCATGGAGTGTTAGCCACTGGACCACCAGGGAAGTCTCTATCATCCCATTCTTTACGTGAGGAAATGGAGGCCAAAATTACATAGCAAGCATAGGACTTGAACCTATGACCATCTGATCCAAAGCACATATCCTCCCCCATTACACCACCCTGCTTCAGATCTTCCAAAAAAATATTTTAATAATGGCAAACACTTACATGGTATTTACTTTATTCCAGGCAGTATTATCGGTGCTTTAACTATGGTAATACTTATAAAAATTCTATGAGGTAGATATTATCATCAAGAACATCCTCATTTACAGATAAGGATGTTGAGGCACAGAGAACTTGAGTAACTTATCCAGGGTCACACAGCTAATACATGGCAGGGCCAGGATTTGAACCCAGGCAGCTGACTCCAGAGTCCAGACTCATATCCACTAGACTTTATTGCCACTAGCAAAGCTCATGCTTGTATCTCTCTAATATGATATATACTAATATGATATATACATGCACATGTTTATATATCATTTATATACATAATGTAACTATAGTGCCATATATGATTTTTATTTGCTTATTTAGATTTCAGGGTATTTTCTTCTCTACTAGCAAGATTCCACTATACAATTGTTCCCACACGAGTTGATGACTTACCCTAACTGCAGGGACCCAGGTGTTGTATACATCCAGCCCAATGTGATTAAGATTTTCTTTTCAACCTGAAAAAAAGGGAAAAAAAGAAGAAAGAACATTTCTTTTCAAACCTGAAAAAAATTAATTTATTTTTAACGAGGAAGGACCCAGCTGCCAAGAAGCCCTGGGACTCTGGGCCTCCCGACTACTCTCCCTCTTCTTGTCTTTACACCTCTCAGCCCTTCCTTTGTTGGAGGTGATGTTTCTGCTGCAGGCTTGACTGCCCTCCTGCCCCCAACCTGGCACTTGTGGTCTTTGTGTGGAAGTAGTTCTCAAGCCCTGGACAAAAGCCTCTTGTCCCCTAGGCTCCAAGTCTCCTTACCACACACTCCCTGTGTACCCAGTTACCCCCAAACCCTGGGTCTTGTGTTCGTTCTGCCAGCCCAGTGTGATTGGAACTGGACTCCCTGGGAGCTTGAAGGTACTGGGCTCCCTGGGAGCTTGACTCAGGACCTAACAGTTGGAAGTGCAGAAGCCCGTGGGCTCCTCCCTGTGGGTGCCTACGTTTGGGAAAGGGTGGGGACTCTTGAGAGCAATGGCTCTCTTTCTGCTCTCTACACTCTGAAAAATCTGTCACGTGCTACTGTTTCTTTGTAAGTAAACTTTGTTTCCTATCTCAGCATACGACACACAACACATAACACACACACACACACACACGCACAGAAATATGAACATGCTTAATGTTGCAAGTGCTTGAAGTCAGGAACAAAAAAGGCCTTGCCAAGGCACTCCCTGGTTTGGTACAGGGGCAGGTGATTAAGGCAGTGTTTCAGGAGGAACTGAGGTCTGGTGGACAAACATGGAGTTCTAACCACAGACCAGTTATTAGTCCACAGGAAACAGCCTGTTACTATTGTAAAGATGAAGTGCTACTTTTTTTTTTTTTTTAAAGAACTTTCGAAAAGTCTTCCTTTCCATTCTGATTCAGTTCAAGTCTGTGAGGCAGGAAGGTCTCAGGGCAGCCATGCCTGCAACATTAGCTAATCAGACTCCCAAGAAACATTCCATTCCGCTTAGGAGGGCTTTGGAGAATGGTTTGCTCATGGTGGCTTTTAAAATAAACTGAGGGTTGCCAGGCTGAATTGACTCCCTGCAGGGCCGGTGACCTGGTTCCAGGCTGGTGCCCAGCAGGCTTGCTTCCTGCTGGGATGGTGGACCTCTCATTAAACATGGTTGCCTTGCCTGTTCCCCATTCTTGGGGGATGAAGTGGAAAGTCTTGTACCTTCTGTCACTGCCTATTTTAAAATTGGGGAAACTGAGGCCCAAGACAGTCATGATAAAAGTAATAACAACAGCCAACACAGAAAACACTTTATATTAAGTTATCTACAAATGTCAAGGGAAGGGGCACCATGACATAGTGGCAAGGAATGTATGGTTTCAGATTCTGGTTTTGCCCCTCTGAAGCTCTGTGATCTTGTGTAAGTAACTAAGCCTCTCTGAGATGTAGTCTCTTTGTCCCTAAAATATTGGTAATGATACCCGTTCTATAGGCTTGTAGTAAGGAGCAGAAATAATGGATGTAAAGTACCTAGAGTAGTACCTGGTGCCTAGTTAGTACCTGATCAATGGTCTTTATTATTAGTAGGGATGCAATGCAGGCCAGCCATAAGATCAATAGTGCCTTCCAATCCTGTTTCACAGCAAGCATTACCCAAGGAGCTGGTGAAAAGTACAGATACAGTCGTCTGCAGTCTAAGGAAAGGCATGGGAACGTGTATTATAACAAGCCGCTGGGCGATTCTTACCTGGCAATTTTGGAACACATTCAGGTACGCTGCCCTCCAGCCTCTCTTTGCTTTGACCCTTTCATTCTCTGGGCACCTGGCCCCATATTCAGTAGAGTTTTAGCTTTTGCTTGAGGGTGGACATGATTAAAAGGTCAGATATCGTTATTTATTCTCAGAGAGAATATGCTCTGAACTTTGCACAGCAGATTTATTCCTGAAAAGCTGTTTGCAAATGGAAGTTGGTGTGTGTGTGTGTGTGTGTGTGTGTGTGTACAGACATATATTTAACACCTTAGTTTGCTATTCAAAGGAATGCATTTAATTCAGCTAAATAAATATTATATGAGTGATTATTATGTGCTGGGGATACAGTGACAAGGAAAATGCAGGCCTTGTCTTCAAGGGCCTGACTTACAGTCCACTGTGGTTAGGTTAGGTTAGGTTAGCACAGGGAGCTAAAAGAGCACAGAGGGGGAAGGGTACCCAACTCAGGGTTGGGGCATCTGGGAATTTCTAGGGGAAGTGGCATCTGAGGATCTTCCTGTACACTGGAACATAATCTCAAGTCCTTTTGCAAAGAGAATGACCCTTCCCTAATTTATCCTTGTGGAAAAATGAGCTTTTCCTGCCATGGGTAAGGCACTGAGTGAGGTGTTGCAGGGCAACCAGGGGGAGAAAGGCCCGATCCCTGCCCTCAGGGAGTTTATACCACACGTACTCAGGATTAATTTATGTCTCATATAGGTCATTAATCCAGTGTGATCTGTTTATGACTGAACAGGTAGTTTATTATTCAAGTTGTAAATCCCTTTACTGAAAATACTGTTTATTCTCTTTCATCACCATGTTGTGGGGAAATCCGGTTCCAGCTAACACAACCGTGAGCACATATTTCATCCAGGAGAAAAACCCAAGTGCACGCTGGTGTTCCCAGAGCTATTTGCAGACCTGTCACGAAGCAGTGGAGGCCTGGATGGATCCTTAGGGTCGGTAGGGTCTGAGTATCTGGGGCAACCTGAAGACCCGGTAGCACTGGCAGTAAGTCACGCTTTCTTTGGCTATCACGGATACGAATGCCTTTCAAACCACCTGTCTCTGCCCCAAGAAGGTGAGGAGTCAGGAAGGAACAGAATTCCTGGTGAATTACGATAATTACACCGCGTTTAAACAAAAGATGGCAGGGTGTTTGAGTGACCAGGTGAGGTTCCTTTACCTTCTGTTCTCTGTGTGTGCAGTCCTGGTAGGAGCTGCTTAGACCCTTTAAGCGAAGATGCGTTCCTGTCTCGTAGATGGCGAACCTGAGGTACAAGAGGTGTCTGGTTGTGGTGTTGGGCACCTGGTGGTTTACAATCTGCTGCACATCGAATCCAGCCCAGACTTATTATTCTGCCTTTCAGAGTCTCTATATATGAACCCCTCAACCTCCCATTTGCTGCTTCTCAGAAGGGCCAAGCCTGAAGCATCCGCCTCCCATTTTTTGCCAAGTTGCTCCCACTTCTTGAGCCCCTGCCCCCCTCTATCTTCCTGGTGAAATCCAACCCATCCTTCAAAGCCCAGCTCAGGTGTCACCTCCTCCCCTGGTTGGAATTCATCTCTGCCTCCGCAGCGCTCCTCGGTGTAGCCCGTTCTCTCATTACTTCTCCTCGGGCAACAGGCTGCGCGTCTGATCCTCAGTTCACAGGATGGGCATAACAGTAACATCTGCAGTAACCTTTAACCCCTTCGGGTTGTGGGCTTCTTTGAAAATGTGAGGAAAGCTGCTGGAAGAGCTACTGCTTACTGAGGCCCACTATGTGTGGTGTCAGGCCGGGTGTTTAGGACTTCTCCGTTCATCATCTCATATAACGGTCAAGTCTCTCCAGCCAGGTACTAGTATTATCCTCACTTCACAGATGAGGAAAGGAGGCCCAGAGAGGTGAAATGCCTCTCCCGAGGTCACACAGCTAGTACTACTAGCAGAGCCAGGTTTACCACATGGCAGAGCGGGGGGGGGGGGTCCTAATCACTGGACCCGCTCCAATGCCTGCTCTCTGACTCCCTGGTCCGGGGATGGGGGCGGGGAGAACACACTGCACGTCCCCTACAATTTAGGGGTTCATGCACCTCCACTGCCACTCCAAGCCTTCGCCGGCAACCCAGCGAAGGTCAACCAGGCCTTCCCTGGGTTGCCGTCTTAACGCAGGCCTGGCTGTGCCCTCGGCAGGGGTCTCGGTCAACATCTGGTGACCCAAACTCGGGGCCATGGAGCCGGGCCGAGGGGTACGGGCTCGTGTCTCGAGAGCCGCAGAGCCGCGTCCCGGGTGCCGAGTCCCAGGAATGTGGGAGGGCTGGGCGGAGAGGGCGGGCAAGGCGGGGGAGCTTCCTCTGCCCGCCGGAGGGGAGCCGCCCGGGAGCGCGCGGGGAGCGCCGCCGCCCCCTCCCAGCCGCCCGGCCGGCCCGGCAGGGGCGGGGGCTGCAGCGGGAGGGCGGCGATGGGCCGCGGTGCTCGGCAGCCGGTCGGCCGGCCGGGGTGGGAGGAAGCGATGAATATTCAGAGGGGGAGGGGAGGGAGGGGGCTGAGCGCTCGCCGAGGCTCCCTGCAGCCCCATCCGCATGACGCGCGGAGGCGGCAGCCGGAGCCGCCGGAGCCGGGATCAGGGCGCTGAGCGCGGGGGGTGGGCGCCGCTCGCTCCGCCCTGCGAAGCCCCTGCGCGCCCAGGGACGCGTCCACCCCGCTGCAGCCCCGCCAGGCTCCGCCGTGTGGCCGCTGCCGCCGCCGCTGCTGCCATGTCCCCGGGGAAGCCCGGGGCGGGCGGAGCGGGGACGAGGCGGACCGGCTGGAGGAGGAGGAGGCGGAGGCGGCGGCTGGAGGCGGCGACTAGGGCGCCGGGGCTCGGAAGAACGGTGGGGCCCTACTCGCGCGTCCCGGGCACGTTCCAGGGCGCGCGGGGCATGAAGCAGGCGGCGCGGGAGGCGCGGCCGCCTCCGCGCTCGCCCCGGCTCCGCTGGGCGCTGCCGCCGCTGCTGCTGCTGTTGCGCCTGGGCCAGGTGAGCTGGGTGGGCCCGGGGGGGGGGCGCGAGGAGGGTGGGGGCGGGACTGGCAGCCCCTGCACCTGCCCGGGTGCGCCCTGCCTGCGGGGATCGGGGGAGGTGGCGGGGGGTCCGCGTCCTCGGGGCCCCCCGCTGCTGGAGGCCGGCCTCGCGCGCCGGCGACCGAGCCCTTTCCCCGGCTGCCGCGTACGCGAGGGAGGGTGGTGGGCTTCGGGGTCCCGGGTGCCCGGAGCCTCCCCGTGGCCGGCCCCGCGCGGGCTGCAGGCCGTCTCTGGCCCGGCCCTGACCCGAGCTGGTCACATCTGGCAGGCGCGGGCCCGGCTCGCCAGCCCGAGGCGGCCGGAGGGGGCGTGTTTGCGGAGGGCTCCCGACGCGGAGCCGGGCGGGCCTGGCCGAGCCGCAGCCGACCTCCGACCCGGCCTGCGGGGGCCCGAGGGGCCGGGCCGAAGGGCAGCGGCGGCGGCCGCGGGGAGCCGGGGCAGGGTCGGGCGCCGGGCGGCGGGCAGTGGGAGAGGCGCGGGGCCTCCGGGCAGAGGGCGCTGCTTCTGGGGAAAGTTCCCAGCCTGGGGAGAAGGTGGCCACTCGCAGGCGTGCCTCCGGGTGACGGTCCTCTTCCCGGAGAAGCTGCTTGCTTCCCTGGATGCTTAATTCGTGCTTTGTGGGCGCCGGCTCCCCCCCCCCTCCCCGCCCTGTTTTCTGGCTCCGCTTTTCAGATAATGCTGTGCCTGCCGTTTTGGTGACGATCTTTCTGAAAGCGCCGTTTCCCCTTCACGGTGTTCCCACGGGGTGAGGCCGGGCAGCTGGGAGATGTCCCCATTTCACAGATAGGGAACTGGAAGTGAAAAAGCAGAATCACCCAGCCCTGCGGCGGGAGCTGAGCCAGCGGGTTCGTCCTCACAGCTTTCTAGGAGACTGCTAGGGTCTTGAACTCGCAGTGGAAAGGGCCCTGATGATACCCCTGTTGTGCATTTTGTAAAGGAAAAACCTTGCTTCTTTTATACAGACAGCGGCTCTGAGGACATGATGTTTGAAAACCTGGGAAGTGAGTTACTGGCTGGGTATGGAACCTGGCTTCAGGGAAAACTGTTTTTTTGTTTTTTTTTCCCCAGGTCCCTTCCTTTCTCTTTCTTTCTTTCTTTTAAATTGAAATGTAGTTCATTTACAATATTGTATTAGTTTCAGGTGTACAGCAAAGTGATTCGGGTATACATATATATATGTATATATCTATATATATACTTTCGATTCTTTTCCATTGTAGGTTATTACAAGGGAAAACTTTTCAAGCACAAATAAAAAGATTGAGAGCGGAGACGTCAGCCTTGGGGCAGCAATGCAGCCCAGCAGGCAGGACAAGAAGGCAGCTGGGGCCTGGGGGCTGCACAACTCTCAGCACCCAAAGGACGCTCTGGTTGCTAGTGTCCCCTCAGTTTTCCTCGGCAGGCTTTGAACAGGCTGTCCTGAAGGCCTGGAAGGCTCTGTGACCTCCTGCAGAGAATATTGGATTAGGTGTCAGAAGACCAGCTCCAGGGCCGGGTGCAGGTTGGACTTGCTCTTCCGTCTCCTTCATCCTCAGTTAACAGCTTTTGTAGCATGGGACCACCTGCCCCATAGCGTTGTTTGAGGGACTTTCACTGGCCAGTGTCTGAAAGAGCTTTGTAAACATTAAAGTGTGTCCAGGGCTTCCCTGGTGGCGCAGTGGTTCAGAGTCCGCCTGCTGATGCAGGGGACACGGGTTCGTGCCCCGGTCCGGGAAGATCCCACGTGCCGCGGAGCGGCTGGGCCTGTGAGCCATGGCCGCTGAGCCTGCGCCTCTGGAGCCTGTGCTCTGCAACGGGAGAGGCCACAACAGTGAGAGAGGCCTGCGTACCGCATAAAAAAAAGTGTGTCCGGTTGGGGTTAACATTAAGGTACAGTGTGTATGGACTGTCTTCTCCCTGACCCTGTAAGGAAATTCATGGAGAATAGTATATGAGATTAAAAAAATATTGCCTTATATTGAAGATCTTTTGTACCAAAGTTAATACTAAAGAAATACTTCATTTATTTTTAGTTTACTTTGGTACATATATATTTTATTATATTATTTATGGTTTTGCTTAGGCCCTGATGGTTGCTAGCTGTGCTTTGAATCAGCGAAAAGTTTCTTGGGTAAATTTATTTCTTGCCCAATCCTTCCTTGTGTTTCAATAGCATCTTGCCACGCTACACCTGTCCCCTATTCAGATATTTCCTTCCTCTCTAATTTGTCCTGTAGAAACACAAGAGGGCTCTTTATTTCTCATTTTTGGATACATTTTAAAATAGGAAGTCTAAAAGGCTCTCTGAAAAAGCATCTTCAAAATCCACATTTGACGGTTTATTTTGATATTGGGTATTTCAGGGATTCAGCGCGTTTTTGAGCTGGACCAGACTTCAAGATAGCTCAAAGTCCTTTTTCTTTGTTCCTTTGCTTGTTTCTTTTCTTTTCCTTTTTTTTTTTAGATAAGGCTGTTGAGGCCCAGGGAAGACAGTGATTGGGCTGAGGTCACCTGGCAAGACAGTAGAGGAGCTGGGACTGGAACCTGTGTCACTTGCCCGTGCCTCAGATTTTCATGATGCTGTTTTTTTAGCCATGTTTTCTCTTTGTTCTTAATTTTACTATAGGCACAGCCGTGCCTCACTGTGTACTCCTGAAACTGTGGGTGTAAATTGAGTTTTTCAAAGTCGAATCATATTTGAGATTGAAAGTCATATTTGAGATTTCTGAAGCTTGTACAATACATATAGGAAATGTGGGTGAAGTTATCTGACTGCCTCCCTAACACTTGGTTGGCTTTGTAAGGCTTGGATGGTGTGTGTTTTTAAATGGAATCAACTGTAGCAGCTTAAAAAATGGCCAAGTTGTAGAAAAGATGAAGCTCTGTTTGGGCATTAATGATAATGGGTACGGAAGCAAGGAAGCTGAGGTGCTGGAAGACTTAATGCTTAGTAGGGCTGGAAAAGCAATTTTTTAACCTGGCTTCTCATCCCCCTTCTCCAAGACAGGAAGGATGGCCAGAGATGATTCCAACATGAGGACTTTGCTGGGTGCGGTGACTTCACCCATTCTTGTAGCATTTTTGCCCACTAATTTTGGTTTGTGTGTTATGTTTTAGGCAACGTGACAAAGCAGTTTTTCCCCCTTGCCTCCTTCTTTGGAGAAAAGCAGTCCTGACAGATTCTTTATAAAATCAGCTTGATAGTGGGCTGTTTTAAAATGAAAAAAACAAACAAACAAACTGGTGAGTGATAGCTGTTTTGTTGGTCTTATAGTGTTTTGGATTTGCTTTTCCTTTGTTTTCTTGTTTCCTGGTGAATAATAGCTGTTTGTGTTTATTGTCTACTGTAGCTAATCCTTAAGCCCTCTTACCTACCTGTTTCATCCAGGGTACAAAAAATTATTTTGACTCTCCTTGAACTTGCTTGTTAAAATTCTCATAGGGGTGACTTTAAATATTTTTGTTTTGCTTCAGAACAACAACAGAAAACCCAAACGATTATGTTTTGTTTGCAGACAGTTTAAGAAAACAGAGCAAATTGGTTTATGGTTAGACTGTGACTTTGAGCCGACTTCAAGTTTAGCCCCACAGTGAAGATAACCACAGAACACCCAAGGCTTCCTAAGCAGAGAGAATCCTGGCTCCTGAGTGAGCAATTTCGGTCAGCAAAGAGGTTATTTAGCTCCTAAAAGTAATCTTCGCTTGGGGTTGAGGCCCAGGTAGAGTTGCTGAATGACTGTAGGCCTGGGTTTAGCCAGCACTTCATCAGCAATTACTTACTTAGTTCATTCACTGCTTGGCCAAGGGAATTATTTAGAGTGTAGGGTAAGAGGCGATTTTCCCTTC